AATTTTCTTTCGTATCAAACTCTGTATAGGTTTTTTCATTGATCATTTTGTAAAAAAAATTTCAAATTTCATTGAAAAATGACGATGTTACAGACAAAATATTAAACACGGTAAAATGTAAGTAAAAGTCGATTCACATACCTCAAAATGGTTATATTCTGGATCCAAGTATTAGTGTTAAAAATAATGCGAATTTAATGCTAACACCCATGCATTACTTAATACTAATGCTAATAACGCTAAAGCATTACGGTTAATTTTAACACTAATGCTTAAAGCATTAGCATTTTTGTAATACTAATGCTAATTTACCACCCCTATCACTATATTCCTATCAAAAAGAAATCTGATATCTTCTCTTTTTACGATAAATATTCTCACTATAGCATTGTCATTTCTCAATTAAATTCGGAAAGTTTTTTTTAACAAAATGATCAGCGAAAATAGTTGTGCAAAGTTGGATACGAAAGGAAATTTTTTGAATACTTTGATTTTTTGGTTGACTACCGACGAAACTACCTTGCAATATTCAGTACGAAAATTTATGTAGTTCAATCTTGTCGATGCATTTCACCACTAGCTTTAGCTAGAATGCTGAAACTTTTAGAAATGGAAGATGATGACTAGACGTATATGTGATAAAAATTTCAGCACTCTAGGTCAACAAAAAGTGTAAAAACTATCAAAAACAATTTCTCATCAGTTATTATGAAACACCCTTTAGTGATAGTAAGATTATTAATATATTAGGTTGTGGTTTTCTCGTTAAGGAGTCCAGGAGCAGAATCCGTCACTGTTGCTGGTACGTCTGCTGATTCTGTATTGAACATTATCGGTGAGGAGCAGTGACAAATATTTTATTGAAGAGAATAGAGAATCTTCTGTGTTTCTGTTTCCATCTATGTGAGTCCACTACACAGCTTGTCTTTTCACTGGCACAATGCAAAGAATTGAACAATCACTACGATTGTGGTGACACACTGTGTTGTCGTAGTTTCTCACAGATGAAATGATGATCACCCACCAGTCTTGAATATCTTCATATCTTTCATTGATTACACTTATATTGATTATCTGTCAATTCATGGCAAAGTTGTTAAACTTATGTAGACACTCGGCCATGGCGTTTCTTCTCATCGCTGCAGTTCCGTACTTCTCCATGCGACACCAATAACCTTTCATGAAGCGACAAATTGAACACATCTGAATCTTTCAAAATCTCTATATCGGAATGATTGTGAAAGGTTTTCAATATCATTGATCACTTTAGCAGTACTATTTAGTATTCTATCGAGTTCCGGAGGAAGCATTAACAGGGACTCTTCTGCTTTCCTTGATACATATACTCATACATTCATAATCATGTTACACTTAGACATAAATAAAACCAAAAATTGCTATGAAGCGAAACACACTGCTCTTTGTTTATTAAGAGAGAGTAAAACTAAAAAAATCCGACTCAACATACAAAATGATTCATCCATTCTACAGTCTAAATCCGTAGTAATTTTATCATAGAAGGTATACAATAGATAAATGATACGTCTATCATATCATGCTTGCTAAAAACCAATCGAACATACGACGACGTCACTATAGGTTTTCTTTTTCATGGTTTTACGCAAATGCGCAATACTAATTTCCAACTATTTGAATATAAATACGAATGTGTTTCGTATTCAACACAGTAACAAACATCAACAACAAAAATCTTCAACATGGTTCGTATGTCAATTGTCGTCGTGCTTATACTTGCTTTAACATTACAAATGTGTAGTATGTATACTAGATTAAAAGATATTTAGAATTTACTGAATCATCTTTATCTATTTGATTTCTCTAGTCGTCGATGTGTCTGCACTTTCATTGTGTAAAATTCCGACCGCCTCATGCTACCAAAAAGTTCTCACCTGCCAAAAAAAATGCATACATTGTGGCTATAAAGATGGCCATTGTAAAAAAATTTGGTTCGTAAAGTATTGCAAATGTACCCGTTGATTCCAACATCGACATCATCTAAAATAACATAAACTTCGTCTAAATTATTTTTTCTTTTGCACTATTTTATGACACTTTTTTATTTATTTATTCTAATAAAGCATCCAAATCAGAAAACGCACTATAAATTTATCGATGTACAAGAAATAGCAGAAACTTATGAGCTAACCTAGTTTCGGCTAATTGTCATGAAGTACTTTTGAAAAGAAAAAAGAACAACAAACATTGATATACTCCCTAGTACCGCATTTATTGTAAAACATTCAATTTGGTCTCTCTCATAACATCACTGTATTGAAAAAACTATTTTCAATTCTAAAAGGACGCATGTTAAAATTAAAAATTTTTTGTTGTCCTCAATACTTATTTAAATGAAAAACTATAGTTATAAAACTATTAGCATATAAGAAACCAAAAATGGTAATCTTACAGGATCATATAAGATCTCACTTGATTCTGCTCCTGAGATTTTGAAAGAATCTTGTTACAAGAATCGTGTAAGATTTACAATAGTATCTTATGGTAGGAAACGTATTGAATTTTACGATAGGATATTTGTACGATTTTGTAAGATTATACCATACGAGTCTGACAATATCTGATTGTTGGTAAGATTTTGTAGGATCTTATACGGTTTTTGTATGATTTCTCCACCTGGGATGTCACCTATTTGACTGATGTCGTCAATGAAAACAATGATATATTTTTGTATAATGTAAATTGACGATAAATGAATGAATAACCGACCGAATGATATTGTTTTTCTTTCTTTCTCGTTTTATTCAACATTTGTCCTTTAATATACGTCGATAAACAATCAGAAAATGTTTTTACTTGTTATAATACAGAATGCAAAATTTTAATCGTGCAGCATAATAATGTGTTTCTTTTTATATTTATTATGAAAACAAACTAAAACACATATAAATCAATTTCCAATTGAATACCTAAGTTGTTTGTGAATTTTCGAACCTTCAGAAGTTCATCATCAGACATGACATAATCCATATAATTTCATAGATCACTATAACATAAACTAAAGCAAGACAAGAATTAATAAACCAGGTAATAATGCTAGAATATGCTGCTGTTACGAAAAATTTAAATGAGGGTAGCATGTTAATGAAAAAACTGATCTATTCAATTGAAAATTGATTTATATGGTTGTTAGTTTGCTTTCATAATAAATAAATAAAAAATTATATTATGCTGCACGATTAAAAAGTTGATCTCTCATCAACATTCTACACTGATTTAAATTGTTCATCTGTTATTTCATCTGTACATTCTATTTCAATTTACAAATTCTAATCATATATATTATAACCAATATAGCTTGAATAAACATTTTGTTCATGTTTTGGTGAACATTTTTTTCTTTAAGCTTTAATCAATTGAATTGAATTCTCATCGAATACATCTAATTGATGATTTGTTTTATTTTTCTTTGTTTTTACTTACCTTTATTTAAGTTGATGTGGATAACGTAGTCGTCTGTGCACTATAAAAACGCGTATATCATGTAAAGTTTCTTTCCATAAACTAGATTCGGGGTCTTCTATTAGTTTTCCGGAAACTATTTTTTTGCACTTCACTGCGAAGGCAGCATAAAGAAGATCGAGAGGATCGTAGGGATAGCTTCTTTTGCGGCACTCACATCAAGAGAGACGTGAAGTGACGCTTTTCGTAGCACCCACATCGGCAAAGATGGCTTGTAGATATTTTAGCTTACCGCTCCATATGGCAGTAGTCGAAACTTCATTGCGTGACCAAAAAATTATATTTTCTATACCACTGTTTGGGTTCCGAAAGTCCACCTGGTTTTGGGAAATTGATTTTCTATTTCCGGAAATCCACGTGGTATCCAGAAAGTGGTATAAGGCATCATATGAGAATCCACTGACTATATTATTTCCATTTTTTATTTTGAATCTAAATATGATTAAATTATATTAGTTTCTTCGAAGGCTTAAAAACAAATATATTCAAATACCCTATATGATGTTCCAGTGTAAGTAACTGCTGTATCGTTTTGTTTGTAAATACTTCTGTAGGATCAAGAGAACAATTCAAAGACAGTTCTTCATGTGTAGCGTCGAATCTTGAAAGAATTATTATTTCTGTAGATATTTTTATTAACGTTTTCGTTTCAGATTCAACTATTGTCGTAACATCTTTTCAATATTGTTCTTCATAAGGATTAAGTTTTTCAGATTTTTGTTTTTTTGATTCTAGATGACGCTCAATACCAATTAATAAATATTGCAGTTTATGAATACTTAAACCAATTAAAAATATCAATGAATTAAATGTTTCATAAACTAAACCATGAAGAATATTGTAAAAGTCGATATGAGGTATACAAAGATTAAATGGTTTCATTTCAACAGCACGTATAAGATTTTTGATATTGAACAAAATTTAAACACTGTGAAGTCGAAAGTTGCTTTATCCATTTATCAAAGCAATTCATATTTTTACTTTTTGAAATTAACATTTTAGTATATTTATCTCTGCTCAATTCTATCTCTTCTTCATACAATAAATAAAAAAGTAAAACATTATAATTTCAAAAAATGAAATTCTTCTTTTATTGGTCATATCAGTGCTCTCACGTAATCATAATCATCAGTTATATAAACAGAAAAAGAGATATGCAAACAGAACAAAAAAATTAAAAAACCGGAAAAAAAATATCGGTGTGCAGTAGAAATGTCGAAAAGAAAAATGTCGAAACGAAAAGCATCGAAAGGAAAAAATGTAGAACGAGGGAAAATGTTTAAAAATTAATTTTAGCATGGAAAAATATCAAAATTCGAAATGAAGGAAATAGTGATGTCTCCAGTAAATGGTGACTCGCAACGAATAATTGATGTTTTATTTTCCTATAATTTCTACTAGTCTGGATTTTTCAGCACTAGTAATAGTGATGATTAATACTTGATGTAGATAAAGTGAACGAACCTGACAAAGAGTAATTATATAACTAAAGTCCTACTGCTATGGCTACAGTTGCCGCATCTTCAACAGAAGAAATTCAACCAAAATCACCAGCTATTTCATTTATTAATTTACAAAAAGGAAAACCTTTGCTAATAGCAAATGAATATATTTTCAAATCAAATAAAACAACAACTACTACTAATTATTGGAAATTTGCATGTAATGGTTGTTCTTCTAAAATTCATACAGATTTGAATGGTAAATTAACTAAAATAATTGATGAGCATACTCAATCTCCAGAGAAAGAAAATATTGAAGTTAGGGAATTTCGTGAAAAATTTTAAAAATGAGCAATAAATGAAAGAACACCTATTCCATGTATTTATGATGATTTATCATTTGCAGTTGGAAAACGAGAAACGAACATTTTTTTATTTTTTCTCTTTTTATCTCTTGACTTATGTTTTATTTCTATTACCATATGTTAGTACTAACGTACACAATAAATCATCTTTCTGTAGTCAGAATTCTCTACAACACTTTTCGACTGTTTTTCACATCAATATATTTTTTTCGGCATTCTTCCCTTTCGACATTTTTCTTTTAGACATTTCTCCCCTTCGATATTTTTCTTTTAGACATTTTCCCCTTTCGACCTTTCTACTGCCAACCAACCAAAAATGACAACAACTACCTAGGGCGAACAAGCACGGTCGTAAATGACCGTTTACGGAGGAAAACGACGACATACGGGACTCGTACACACTCTCCGTATACGATGCACGTATACGGTGATCGTATAAAAATACGTACCCAGGTCAAAAAATCGGACATAAGATCTTGTTGATCATACGAAATCTTGCAAAAATCGTACAAAAAAATCGTGGTTCATGCAATCTTATACTAAGTCGTACTATAAGAACCATCCAAGATCTTACTGTCACATAAGATTTCCTATAATCTTATAGTAAAATCTTACCGAACAACAAGATCTTTGATGGATCTTATAGTACGACTTAGTATAAGATTGCATGAACCACGATTTTTTGTACGATTTTCGTCTGATTTTACAAGATCATATAAGATCAGACGTAGGATCTTATAAGATCTTACTGTCTAATTTGTCGACCTGGATAGAGATTGAAAGATAAAGTAGCCTCCTCCGTATACGGTCCTATATGACTGCCGTACACTATAAAATAAAGGATTTATGAATTTGCAACGCGATGCAAATCCTTCTTCCGGTGTTGAAATATCTAATAAGCCCTTTTTCCAAATCATAAACAGAAAAACATTTATTATCTTCGTCATAAACGGAAAAAAGGATTTATGTTCCGTTGCAAATTCATAAACCCTTTTTTGTTTTATACACTATCAAAAACGTTTTTTCCGTTTATTATTCTGCGGATTTTTTCTACAGTGTATATGATCTTATATCACCGTGTGCAATCGTATATGGTCAATATGGTCATATACGGTTACCGTAAGGACAAATTGAGCAATTCGTAGTGGCAGCGAGTTAGCGTGATTGATCATCCAAGAAATTTAGCAGCGGATAGGCCTGCGCAGAGGTGGGGCTTGCCACAACTCACTGATTGCTTGTGTCTCTTTGTTCACATATATATTTTCCATATCTGAATCATACTTTCATTCGTATAATGCGGAACTCCGATAGTTCATATGCAGCCACAAATTATGGCATTGCTCTTCGCTAATATACGCAATTGAATGAGCAAGCTTCTAGATATATGCTGAAAAAAGTAATTTACAAAGACGCGTACGGAGCGGCAATTATGTTAGTAAGAAATACAAAATGAACAAATGTAAATAGATAAGGAAAACATGTAGTAAAAACGTAGGTAGATAGTACTATACATGCTGCAGACATATACATTAAGAAATGTTGGTAGAAGCGATAGATAATGCATAAGAAAATATCTGTACAGTAATTAGTACACACATGTGTGTTATAACTTTATTGGATTCTTATTTTTTTATTTTCGATTGTTTTAGTTTATCAACGTAATGAAGAGTAAGTAGTTTTTATTAATTTTATTACTTAAGTACTATTTTGGACTGTTTTTATCTATCTGTTCGATGAACAGTAGGTATGTTTTATTTGTCTTATTTTATTTTCTAGTTTAGATTGTGCAGATCCATCACTTCAACGACCAGTAAGTATTATTTTATTTATTTTATTTTTTATTTTAGATCATCTTAGTTCGTCATTTCAATGAAGCTATAAGTATTTTATTTTTATTTTATTTGTTTCTTTTCGGCTTTAGATTATCTGATTTTAGTAAATCCCATATGCTTCGAGCCGAACAAAACCTGCTGGTATATCGGTCGAACTATAGATCGATTAACCGCCGTTAAACTACCTAATATTCACTAGTTACCGTCGATTAATCGATATATAGTTTCTGTAGCGAGATACAAGTAATTTCGGATTTTTACGACTATAGTTTGGGCTATAGAAAATCTGATTACACCATTGAACAGAGCTCATCGAGTTCTACTTGGAACACAAATGAAACATCTGGAACATGTTTCTGGACGAATCCCCGCTAATTTTACTATATAAATTCTAATATTTAACCGATCTTTTCGTATTTTAGGACACATACTTAGAGCTATGGGAAATCTAATTATACCAATCGATAGAGCTCATCAAGTTCTACTTTGGAACTCTTTGGAACAACTGGAGCAGCTTCCTGGACGAATATCGGCTGGATTTACTCGAATATGAGGCTAACTTCACCTACTTTCCTGCAGGACGTATGGCAAGACATTAAAAAGTTCCCCTTGCAGGACACGTTTTGCAGAGTAAAGATTTCTCCTGCGTCCAGCCCGAAGGACAAATTTTTCATTGTATTCTTTAGAAAGATAAAACGCTTGTGTAAATATGATGCACCATGTCAAATATCATATATTACCAAATGGTAGGTAGTAGTATGTTATTTCCTCTCTCTTGTACTGTTCTATTGTTATTCATATTAGTATTCGATATGTGCGATGGATTTTTCTTTCGTTCTTCTCTTCTTTACTTTCTTTTCCCCTTTTCTTTCCTTTCTTTCGTTCTATATATTGTTTTCTTTTCTCTTGATACTTCACAGGTGATTTTTCCTTCTCATGTAAAAAAAGACGTTTAAAAATTTGATTAAAACCTATTTTAATGACACTATTTTAATCGATTAAATAATTTAATAATGAGTTTTAATGGATTAAATTTTGGTAATCGATTAAAATAGATTAAAAATGATTGACATCAAAATAATTCTGTCTTTCAAGGCTGAAAAATCTGACTTTAATCAGATTAAAATAGTATCATTATAACAGATTATTAATCCGAAAATAATCGATTTTAATCTAATTTTGAGTCATTTTTTTACATGGGTTCTCGTGTATCATCGCCTATGGAATTCTTCATGTTATGGATTTTTCCACTTGTTTTGTATATATATAGTAGTTCGTGTGTTGTAAGAAAGAGGACAGCAGTAGATTATTCTAGTAGTTATTGTCTTCTTACATTTCACGTGAGGATTACATTTCATATCAAACAACTAACCAATCAACGTTGTATCGAAGTCAGTGTGGATCTCCAATTCTCTGTATAGCCCATTTTTTTCTATGCAATATTCTTTCAATTCCGTCCTGCAGGATTCAAATATTATCCTGCAGGTCCTGTATCAACGAAAACATTGTCCTGCTCCTGTATGGACATAACAAATGCAGGAGAAAACAGTTTATATGCAGGGCAGGTCGTGCATCCTGCAGGCAGGACAATGCAGGCCCTGTATGGCACAGATCTTGCGACGTTCTCCGGTACAAACAAGAACGATTTAAGTAACAATATACAATACAGGACAACATTTTTGAATAATTTATTTTTAAATACTACTAAAACTGACACATGTCAAAGAATTACTAATACCAACAATATCAGAGAGAAGATTTGTGCTAACTTCTGAATGCCATTCATCGATGGAGCTAGTTCAGTTGTTGAGGAAAATACTACACACATCTTTCAAGATCCCATCCGAGTCCTTGTGGAATCTGTTTTAAACAGATTCCACAAGAAGTCGGGCAAGATCTTTAAAGGTGTGAGTAGCATTTTCCTCAGCAACTGAACTAGCTCCATCGAATAATGACATTTAAAAGTTAGCACAAAGTTTTGTTTTTAGTGAGGATGTTGGTAGTATTAGTTTTAGTGGCATCCGTTTGGTGATGGTTGTTAAGGAGAAAATGTTGGTATTCTTATATATCAAGAAAAAGTCTAATTAATTACATAATTTCCCATCATCTTTCTCTAAAATAATTTCATGAACACAATGCAATAAAATTCTTTCTTGTTCTACGTTTGCTTGAAGTAAGATCGTTGTATTTATTTAGGTTTGTCAAGCTTTAAAAACATATGGGTATGATCTCATAGTCAATGTTCGAGTAGGACAATCGAATCGTTGTAAAAAAGCTTTTTGAAAACAAAAGAAATTTATTTACTTATTTTAGTTATTGGTCGTGATCAGGAGATCCATCAAATTATTAAATTTTTATCAGAACAAACAAAAAATAATATTATCTTAATTGGAGAATCAGTAAAAATTTCATTAAACTATTTAGTCTATGTACATGAATGATTATTTATTTGAATAGTATCGGGAAAAGAGCTATTGTTAAAGGTTGAGCAGAATTTATTGCTTATCAAAATATTCCTGATATATTACCTCGACGCTTAATTGCATTAGATATGACAGCATTAAGTAGTAAGACTTGTAGTAAAGATTGAATGATTAAAAAAATAAAATATGTTAGATAACACAAATCATCCTGGTGTATTTGAATAATGTTTTAAATTAATTTTAAAAGAAATTAAAACTTTAAATGGTAAACTTAACGGGTGGTTCACAAATAGCTGCCCTCTCAGTAGTTTTCAGATTTCTTCTCTATTATCCCTTTGATTAAAACGTTCTTTTTTATCGAAGCATAGCGCTTAAAATTCTCTACAAAATCATATATGGCTAAATCCTAAAACTGTTTTAGATATACTTGAAAAAAGATAAAAGATAAAGACATGCAAAAGGTAACAAGCTGTGCATAATGAATGGCCACACTTTGTATCTAGTTTTTTCATCACAAACTTCGCCATATTAGAAAAGCAAAACATACCAAAAGATGCAGCTTGAAAAGCTCTACAAATTATTTTAGATCACCTATTTTATAGTTACCCTTTTGTTTTAAAAATGGACAAAATTTTGAGCGAGCAAATTTCGGCAGTACGAATATGGTATATTTTTTTGATACAAGATGAATTCGTTTTTTTCTCATACCCTCTTTTTGTGTACTC